TTCACCTCTGGTGTGAGTAAGCTTTGGTCAACCGTGCGGTCACTGTCTAATCCGACGAAGCACGACGACAGCGTCGAAATTTCCTTCGGTGACCATGCTTCGTCAGAACCGGAGCGATGCGCGTGCTATTTTAGCCGGCAGTTCATACTGCATCCTCCGGTGGACAAAGCCAAGCGTCGAGTGACCAGAAGGCTGCACAAACTGCCAACAACCTGTGCCCCCCTTGCTTTCACTTGCGGTGAAGTTCAGGTGGCCATCGGGAAGGCGAAAGCCTCCAAAGCCATGGGTCCCGACGGAATATGCATGCTGATGCTGAAAAATTTGGGTCCTGCGGGGGTAGCGTACCTAACGGAGGTCCTCAATTTGTCAATGGCCACTCCCATCACCCCAGACTTCTGGAAGATGGGGAGAGTGGTCCCACTGCTCAAACCGGGGAAACCTGCCAACAAAGGAGATTCGTATCGTCCGATTACACTCCTTTCCCCGGTAGCGAAGACACTCGAGGCCTTGCTACTCCCGTACTTCACAAATCACCTGACCCCAGCGAAGCATCAGCATGGTTTCCGTAAAGTGCACAGCACAACAACAGCACTTAACGCCATAAACACTCAGATAACTCGTGGCCTTAACCGTAACCGTCCCTGTGAGAGAACGATTCTAGTAGCGTTGGACTTGTCAAAGGCGTTTGACACCGTCTGCCATTCCACGCTACTAGAAGATATAGAGGCCTCCTCTCTCCCACAGAGGCTCAAACGGTGGTCGGCAAATTATCTAAGTGGTCAACATTTGTCGGTAATGTTTAAAGACAAAACGAGTAAACAGCGAAAAATAAAACAGGGGGTTCCTCAGGGTGGTGTCCTTTCCCCGCTACTGTTTAACTTTTATATTTCAAAGCTCCCTCAACCACCAGAGGGAGTCTCGATTGTCTCCTATGCCGACGATTGCTCGATCATGGCGACTGGGAATGGAATTGATGACCTGTGTTCGAAAGTAAACGGCTATCTCTCCGAAATTTCGCGCTTCTTCACTGCAAAGTGTCTAGCCCACTCCCCTACGAAATCCTCCGCGACCCTGTTCACAACCTGGACGAAGGAGGTCAGGCTACCGCTGGGGATTCACGTCGATGACACACCAATTCCGACGGTGAATAACCCCAAAATACTCGGAGTAACATTCGACAGCCTGCTCTCCTTCTCTGCGCACTCAACCGCTATTGTCAATAAAGTACAGAGCCGCAACAAGGTCCTCAAGTCGCTAGCCGGCAGTACTTGGGGCAAAGACAAAGAAACNAATTCCGACGGTGAATAACCCCAAAATACTCGGAGTAACATTCGACAGCCTGCTCTCCTTCTCTGCCTTCCTTCCTTCTATTGTCAATAAAGTACAAAGCCGCAACAAGGTCCTCAAGTCGCTAGCCGGCAGTACTTGGGGCAAAGACAAAGAAACGTTGCTGGCAACATACAAGGCAATAGGCCGGCCGGTTTTGAACTACGCAGCGCCAGTGTGGTCGCCAGGGACTAGTAGGACGCAGTGGACGAAGCTACAGACTGTACAGAACACCGCACTCAGGACAGCGACAGGATGCCTCCTGATGTCGCCTGAACACCATCTACAGGGCGAGGCGCAAATGCTCCCCATAAAGGAGCACAATATAATGCTCTGCAAGCAGTTCCTGATCGGGAGTCGCAGAAGTGGCCACTCAAGCAGACAGCTGCTTGCAGAGGAGTCCTCGCCTAGGCACGTCAAGAGGCATCTATATGAACTGACAGACGAAGTCCAGAGGTTCATCAAGCAACCTCTGGACCCGACAGCTTACCGACAGGCCCTGAACGGCATTCACAGGGACTCAGTCTCGAGTTATGTAGATCTAGATTTGTGAATGCCGTTCTAGGCATTCCACCCTGGACATAGACGAGATGGAGCTTCATCTGCCTCGGGAGACTCGCACAACACTTGCACAACTTCGCTNTTGAATGAGGATGTGCCGAATGAGTGTCCGGCATGCGGAGAGACCCCACATGACTCGAAACATCTCTTCGCATGCCCGGAAAACCCGACAACCCTAACGGCCTTGTCCCTGTGGACAAACCCCACAGAAGCTGCACGCTTCCTAGGGTTGCCGTCAGTGGAACTTGACGACAACGACTGAGATACCAACCGTCCTGGGCGGGGTTGTTGTAGCCGCTACAACAACAACAACAACAACCAACTATGGGCGGAATTGAAAAGGAGGTACGACAATCCCAGGCGTTTGTTCACATGTGAATCGGTTGTTGGACTTGCCTGAACACCCAGCACTTACGCAACGCAATGTTCGGAATGTAATCGATGTATTACGCAGTACCTTATGTGCACTTAACGTGATGGGCTTGGCCACCGACCATTGGGACACCATCGTTTATCCTATTGTTTTCCGTAAATTGCCAACATCGCCGCTGCTGCAGAAAATGCTTGAGGGGATTCAGATCTATGCTGACACTTTAAGGAGCAGCTCTACCGTACCGCCCAGGCACTCGGCAACATATCGTACGAGACAGTCACATATGGTGATGCCCAAATCTTCAAGCGCCAACATGAGATCAGCAGTGACCTGCCCTTGATGCGCCGAGCAACATCGTATATCAAGATGCCCTCAATTTCGAGCATTGAGTCTGGATCAACGTTTGCACTGGATACGCCAAGCAACGTTATGCTTCAACTGCTTGCGACTAGCTCACTCGGCCCGTGAGTGTAACTCGGGGAATTGCAACAACTGTAAGCAGAAACACAACACATTGCTTTGTAAGGCAGCTCCGCAAGGCGAGCGGTTACCTACAAAAACCAGCTCAGTAGCGCGACCAGTGTCCGTACTCGAGCAACAATCGCCATCAACCAGCGCCACTGCGCCTCAGGTCCTGCCCCGTATGGCCGATGTCCAGTCTCTCCTGGCGCAATTCGAAGGAATCGTCCTACTAGCCACTGCCAAGGCGCCCATCGTAAATGGGTGTGGAGAGGAAGTATCGTGTCATCTCTTGTGTGACATGG